TCATACCCATTAGTTATCCCCCTAGCACCACACTCACTAATTATCCTCTAGCACCACATTCACTAGTTATACCCTAGCAACACATTCACTAGTTATACCCCAGCACCCCACTCAATAGTTATACCCCAGCGCCACACTCACTAGTTATACCCTAGCACCACACTCACTAGGTATACCCCAGCACCACACCCACTAGTTATACCCCAGCACCACACCCACTAGTTATACCCCAGCACCACACTCACTAGTTATACCCCAGCACCACACTCACTAGTTATACCCCAGCACCACACTCACTAGTTATACCCTAGCACCACACCCACTAGGTATACCCTAGCACCACACCCAGTAGGTATACCCTAACACCACATCCACTAGTTATACCCCAGCACCACACTCACTAGTTATACCCCAGCACCACACCCACTAGTTATACCCTAGCACCACACCCACTAGTTATACCCTAGCACCACACCCACTAGTTATACCCTAGCACCACACCCACTAGTTATACCCAAGCACCACACCCACTAGTTATACCCCAGCACCACACCCACTAGTTATACCCCAGCACCACACTCACTAGTTATACCCTAGCACCACACCCACTAGTTATACCCTAGCACCACACCCACTAGTTATACCCCAGCACCACACCCACTAGTTATACCCCAGCACCACACCCACTAGTTATACCCTAGCACCACACCCACTAGTTATACCCCAGCACCACACCCACTAGTTATACCCCAGCACCACACCCACTAGTTATACCCCAGCACCACACCCACTAGTTATACCCAAGCACCACACCCACTAGTTATACCCCAGCACCACACCCACTAGTTATACCCTAGCACCACACCCAGTAGGTATACCCTAGCACCACACCCACTAGTTATACCCTAGCACCACACCCACTAGTTATACCCCAGCACCACACCCACTAGTTATACCCTAGCACCACACCCACTAGTTATACCCTAGCACCACACCCACTAGTTATACCCCAGCACCACACTCACTAGTTATACCCCAGCACCACACCCACTAGTTATACCCCAGCACCACACTCACTAGTTATACCCTAGCACCACACTCACTAGTTATACCCCAGCACCACACCCACTAGTTATACCCCAGCACCACACTCACTAGTTATACCCCAGCACCACACCCACTAGTTATACCCCAGCACCACACCCACTAGTTATACCCTAGCACCACACCCACTAGTTATACCCTAGCACCACACCCACTAGTTATACCCTAGCACCACACCCACTAGTTATACCCTAGCACCACACCCAGTAGGTATACCCTAGCACCACACCCACTAGTTATACCCCAGCACCACACCCACTAGTTATACCCTAGCACCACACCCACTAGTTATACCCCAGCACCACACCCACTAGTTATACCCTAGCACCACACCCACTAGTTATACCCTAGCACCACACCCACTAGTTATACCCTAGCACCACACTAGTTATACCCCAGCACCACACTAGTTATACCCCAGCACCACACTCACTAGTTATACCCTAGCACCACACTCACTAGGTATACCCCAGCACCACACTCACTAGTTATACCCCAGCACCACACCCACTAGTTATACCCTAGCACCACACCCACTAGTTATACCCTAGCACCACACCCAGTAGGTATACCCCAGCACCACACCCACTAGTTATACCCCAGCACAACACCCACTAGTTTTACCCCAGCACCACACCCACTAGTTATACCCTAGCACCACACCCACTAGTTATACCCTAGCACCACACCCAGTAGGTATACCCTAGCACCACACCCACTAGTTATACCCTAGCACCACACCCACTAGTTATACCCCAGCACCACACCCAGTAGGTATACCCCAGCACCACACCCACTAGTTATACCCCAGCACAACACCCACTTCCTGGTGGCGTGAGGCGCAAGGCCCTGGGAAGTGTATTACAGTCCAACTATAGCTATATAAATCTATATAAAGTTATATAATGTATATAAATCTATAAATCTATATAAAGTTACAGTCCAACTTCAGGGAAGAATCAGTCCGAGGACCCTCAGGGCGGCGGGTCAGAAGCAAAAGAGAAAAACAATAATCCAACATCTATTTTACCTTCCCATCCAAGACGTGTGTATATTAGTGTAATCTCCTCCAGCTTTGTAGCCCGCTATATGTGGGGTTTATGAGAGCTGGGCCACACGTGACTAAGGGAGAGAGAGGCCACACCTGACGCTCTCAGGTGTGTGGCAGCGCGTCTGAGAGCTCTCTTAGGTCTGAGAGTCAGGTGTGGCCCATCAGTACTGTCTCTCACCCTAACCTTTGCGCTCCTTTCCTGCGGGAGGGAGGTGAAGAGGGGGATGAAGAGGAAGGAGAGACGGAGGAGGGGGTGTGGCGTGGGAGGGGGTGTGGCGTGGGAGAGGGAGTGGCTTGGGAGGGGGTGTGGCGTGGGAGGTGGAGTGGCATGGGAGGGGGTGGCGTGGGAGGGGGGGGTGGCAGCAGGTTCTATATACACAGTGGCATGCTAACGACCTCGATAAATCTCCAGAGGTAAGAGCTCCTACTCACCCTTTAAATCACCACAACAATCACTGCTCTCTGAATACTGGCGGCGTGAAGGTCCACCTTCCTGGCCTTGTGGGTCCTTCCTGCCGGGGCTGAGCGGTCCTCAAGCATAAAAGGAGATAATTGTTTGTTTCAACACACGTTGCTTGGACCACGTGTGTCACTGGTGGGTGTTGAGCCCCCCTATGTGTCACTGGTGGTTGTTGAGCCCCCCTGTGTGTCACTGGTGGTTGTTGAGCCCCCCTGTGTGTTACTAGTGGTTGTTGAGCACCCCTGTGTGTCACTGGTGGTTGTTGAGCCCCCCCTGTGTGTCACTGGTGGTTGTTGAGCCCCCTGTGTGTCACTGGTGGTTGTTGAGCCCTCTGTGTGTCACTGGTGGTTGTTGAGCCCCCCTGTGTGTCACTGGTGGTTGTTGAGCCCCCTGTGTGTCACTGGTGGTTGTTGAGCCCCCCTGTGTGTCACTGGTGGTTGTTGAGCCCCCCTGTGTGTCACTGGTGGTTGTTGAGCCCCCCTGTGTGTCACTGGTGGTTGTTGAGCCCCCTGTGTGTCACTGGTGGTTGTTGAGCCCCTCTGTGTGTCACTGGTGTTTGTTGAGCCCCCCTGTGTGTCACTGGTGGTTGTTGAGCCCCCCTGTGTGTCACTGGTGGTTGCTGAGCCCCCCTGTGTGTCACTGGTGGTTGTTGAGCCCCCCTGTGTGTCACTGGTGGTTGTTGAGCCTCCCTGTGTGTCACTGGTGGTTGTTGAGCCCCCCTGTGTGTCACTGGTGGTTGTTGAGCCCCCTGTGTGTCACTGGTGGTTTTTGAGCCCCCCCTGTGTGTCACTGGTGGTTGTTGAGCCCCCCCCCTGTGTGTCACTGGAGGTTGTTGAGCCCCCCTGTGTGTCACTGGTGGTTGTTGAGCCCCCTGTGTGTCACTGGTGGTTGTTGAGCCCCCCCTGTGTGTTACTAGTGGTTGTTGAGCCCCCCTGTGTGTCACTGGTGGTTGTTGAGCCCCCTGTGTGTCACTGGTGGTTGTTGAACCCCCCTGTGTGTCACTGGTGGTTGTTGAACCTCTCTGTGTGTCACTGGTGGTTGTTGAGCCCCCCCTGTGTGTCACTGGTAGTTGTTGAGCCCCCCTGTGTGTCACTGGTGGTTGTTGAGCCCCCCTGTGTGTCACTGGTGGTTGTTGAGCCCCCCTGTGTGTCACTGGTGGTTGTTGAGCCCAACTGTGTGTCATTGGTGGTTGTTGAGCCCTACTGTGTGTCATTGGTGGTTGTTGAGCCCCCCTGTGATTCACTGGTGGTTGTTGAGCCCCCCTGTGTGTCACTGGTTGTTGTTGAGCCCCCCTGTGTGTCACTGGTGGTTGTTGAGCCCCCCCTGTGTGTCACTGGTGGTTGTTGAGCCCCCCTGTGTGTCACTGGTGGTTGTTGAGCCCCCCTGTGTGTCACTGGTGGTTGTTGAGCCCCCTGTGTGTCACTGGTGGTTGTTGAGCCCCCCTGTGTGTCACTGGTGGTTGTTGAGCCCCCCCTGTGTATCACTGGTGGTTGTTGAGCCCCCCTGTGTGTCACTGGTGGTTGGTGAGCCCCCCCTGTGTGTCACTGGTGGTTGTTGAGCCCCCTTTGTGTCAATAGTGGTTGTTGAGCCCCCCTGTGTGTCACTAATGGTTGTAAATCTTATCGAAGACTCTGGTGTTAAGACCCCTGAGGACAACAGTCAGCTATCAAGTACGTTTGAACCACAGAGTTCTATCGAGTCGTCTGTGGACCATGAGTGTTGATGAATTCCCCATCGATCAATTTCTCACTGGTTCCAACCTCATACCTTCCCCATGCCCAGACACACTGACTCCTACCTCATGCCTTCCCCATGCCCAGACACACTGGCATACCTTCCCCATGCCCAGACACGTTGGCTCCTACCTTATACCTTCCCCATGCCCAGACACACTGGCATACCTTCCCCATGCCCAGACACACTGGCTCCTACCTCATACCTTCCCCATGCCCAGACACACTGACTCCTACCTCATGCCTTCCCCATGCCCAGACACACTGGCATACCTTCCCCATGCCCAGACACACTGGCATACCTTCCCCATGCCCAGACACACTGGCATACCTTCCCCATGCCCAGACACACTGGCATACCTTCCCCATGCCCAGACACACTGGCATACCTTCCCCATGCCCAGACACACTGGCATACCTTCCCCATGCCCAGACACACTGGCATACCTTCCCCATGCCCAGACACACTGGCATACCTTCCCCATGCCCAGACACACTGGCATACCTTCCCCATGCCCAGAAAGATGGTACGAGTACTGCTACTCGTCGCCCTTCAACCAGCTTAGTGCTCAGACACCACAATACTTCGTGATTTTTGGACAATCAGAAAGCTTGATTCAAGGTCTCAGTCAAGCTTGATTCTCAACTTGTTTTAAATTTGATGCTCGGCCTCCACCAGCCTTGATGCTCGGCCTCCACCAGCCTTGATGCTCGGCCTCCACCAGCCTTGATGCTCGGCCTCCACCAGCCTTGATGCTCGGCCTCCACCAGCCTTGATGCTCGGCCTCCACCAACCTTGCTGCTTGGCCTCCACCAACCTTGATGCTCGGCCTCCACCAACCTTGCTGCTCGGCCTCCACCAACCTTGCTGCTCGGCCTCCACCAACCTTGATGCTCGGCCTCCACCAACCTTGATGCTCGGCCTCCACCAACCTTGATGCTCGGCCTCCACCAACCTTGATGCTCGGCCTCCACCAACCTTCCTGTTCGGCCTCCACCAACCATGATGCTCGGCCTCCACCAGCCTTGATGCTCGGCCTCCACCAGCCTTGATGCTCGGCCTCCACCAGCCTTGATGCTCGGCCTCCACCAGCCTTGATGCTCGGCCTCCACCAACCTTGATGTTCGGCCTCCACCAACCATGATGCTCGGCCTCCACCAGCCTTGATGCTCGGCCTCCACCAACCTTCCTGTTCGGCCTCCACCAACCATGATGCTCGGCCTCCACCAGCCTTGATGCTCGGCCTCCACCAACCTTCCTGTTCGGCCTCCACCAACCATGATGCTCGGCCTCCACCAACCATGATGCTCGGCCTCCACCAGCCTTGATGCTCGGCCTCCACCAGCCTTGATGCTCGGCCTCCACCAGCCTTGATGCTCGGCCTCCACCAACCATGATGCTCGGCCTCCACCAGCCTTGATGCTCGGCCTCCACCAGCCTTGATGCTCGGCCTCCACCAGCCTTGATGCTCGGCCTCCACCAGCCTTGATGCTCGGCCTCCACCAACCTTGCTGCTCGGCCTCCACCAACCTTGATGCTCGGCCTCCACCAACCGTGCTGCTCGGCCTCCACCAACCTTGATGCTCGGCCTCCACCAACCATGATGCTCGGCCTCCACCAACCTTGATGCTCGGCCTCCACCAGCCTTGATGCTCGGCCTCCACCAACCTTGCTGCTCGGCCTCAACAAAGCTCGGTATTGGACCTGGACTAAGCTGAGTGCTTGGTCATGGGGTGTACACAAGGGGAGCACTCATCACTGCGCCTGCCATGTAAACTGCTCGAGTTTACAAGGAGTAAACTATATATGACACTGATATATGCCTCTTCGATCCTGTCGGGGTGTTTATACCAGGATATTGTTGACGTAGCCCCCAGGAGGCGAGCACCTGCGTTACTAACGTTAACAGGTACAGACTTTCGTTTTGACGCAATTAGACGTTACGACGTCTATCTCAATTACGTCATCTAGTCGCGTTAGCAAAATTTTACGGATATTGCTTTAGTAAATGAATTAGTATTAGATGTATCACTGTTCCTGTGTGTCATTGTCAGCAATAACACATGTCATTGTCAGCAATAACACATGTCATTGTCAGCAATAACACGTGTCATTGTCAGCAATAACACATGTCATTGTCAGCAATAACACATGTCATTGTCAGCAATAACACATGTCATTGTCAGCAATAACACGTGTCATTGTCAGCAATAACACATGTCATTGTCAGCAATAACACGTGTCATTGTCAGCAATAACACATGTCATTGTCAGCAATAACACATGTCATTGTCAGCAATAACACATGTCATTGTCAGCAATAACACGTGTCATTGTCAGCAATAACACATGTCATTGTCAGCAATAACACGTGTCATTGTCAGCAATAACACATGTCATTGTCAGCAATAACACGTGTCATTGTCAGCAATAACACGTGTCATTGTCAGCAATAACACGTGTCATTGTCAGCAATAACACGTGTCATTGTCAGCAATAACACATGTCATTGTCAGCAATAACACGTGTCATTGTCAGCAATAACACATGTCATTGTCAGCAATAACACATGTCATTGTCAGCAATAACACATGTCATTGTCAGCAATAACACATGTCATTGTCAGCAATAACACATGTCATTGTCAGCAATAACACATGTCATTGTCAGCAATAACACGTGTCATTGTCAGCAATAACACGTGTCATTGTCAGCAATAACACGTGTCATTGTCAGCAATAAAACATGTCATTGTCAGCAATAACACATGTCATTGTCAGCAATAACACATGTCATTGTCAGCAATAACACATGTCATTGTCAGCAATAACACATGTCATTGTCAGCAATAACACATGTCATTGTCAGCAATAACACATGTCATTGTCAGCAATAACACGTGTCATTGTTCCTGCAGGGTGAGATTCTTTAGCAACTCACGTATGAAAGATTTGGATCTTCTGGGTCAGATTCTGCGTCCTCCTTTGAACAAATTAATTCATATATCACCTGATCTGAGGTCCGATATATCACTAGACCGCCCAGCCTCCTGTTCTGGTAGACGCCCAGCCTCCTGTTCTGGTAGACGCCCATCCTCCTGTTCTGGTAGACGCCCATCCTCCTGTTCTGGTAGACGCCCATCCTCCTGTTCTGGTAGACGCCCATCCTCCTGTTCTGGTAGACGCCCATCCTCCTGTTCTGGTAGACGCCCAGCCTCCTGTTCTGGTAGACGCCCAGCCTCCTGTTCTGGTAGACGCCCAGCCTCCTGTTCTGGTAGACACCCATCCTCCTGTTCTGGTAGTACTTATAGTAACGATGAGGACCGTAGTATATATATATATACCGACGTACAACGAAATAAAAAAGTGGAAATCGACACTATTGAGTTAGACAACTGGAAAACTATTTTCTACTTATGTTGCAAAGACAAACTATGCTAACTTTGCTAGGTCTAATACACGATATCTGAACCCGAATATAGTACATATGTGTGCTATACTAGGCCTAGAAATATTTACGTTTGTTTTTTTTAGGTTCTTTTTTCGACTCTTATAAAGTTAATAGCATGAAATTCTACAATCTAATTGCTTAGAACGACAATTGTTGTGCTATGGTGCACATAGTTGTAAAAACTGCTATCTGAACAAGAAGATGGGTTGCATGATAACACGTATCACTGCTCACCTGGGGCCAAATAAAACAATAATATATGTTATCACTGATCCTCCGAAGGTAGAGTCCGTGAGTACACTCCTGGCAGCCGTGATCCCACCTCAGGCAGGCCACCCGACGCCCTGTTATCATGAGGACTCCTCACCTCTGTAGTGCACTTCTTACAACAACAGCCTCGCCCTCCTGTCGTCTCTACATTAAAAAAAATCAAACGTAAAATTTTATATGGCTCAATTTATGACCATTTTTTTTGTATTATAGTCTCTCCTACAGTTTATTAGCTTTGGTTATCATATTTATTACCGTATGTAGTGTATAATCTATTCACGCCTGCCTGGAGCAAGCTGACGTGCTCAGCGTGCAACACAAACTCTCACGTGAATTTACGACATCAAAAATATAATTATGTATATTAACGTTATTTATCATGCATGTGGCTCATGCCTTTTTTCAGTATATAATCATACTGGCATTTGTCTCAAGCCAGTGTGGCGGCAGCAGAGTAGAGTGGTGTTTACATGGTGTGGTCACTTTGTTTAATGGTGTGGCTACACGCTAAGTGAGAGGAGTTTAAGGCTCTCTTGAGGGACTCCTAATTGGCATCCATTCATTTTGTTTATTTTGCATTCTTATATAAAATTAAATCGAGTAACAGTATGGCCCGGAGTTGGCGCCACCCAGCTGTGTTTACCTGGATGGTCAGGGGCCCGTGACGGCCAGGGGCCCGTGACGGTCAGGGACCCGTGACGGCCAGGGACCCGTGACGGGTGTGACGGCCAGGGGCCCGTGACGGGTGTGATGGCCAGGGGCCCGTGATGGGTGTGATGGCCAGGGGCCCGTGACGGCCAGGGGCCCGTGACGGGTATGATGGCCAGGGGCCCGTGACGGGTATGATGGCCAGGGGCCCGTGACGGGTGTGATGGCCAGGGGCCCGTGACGGGTATGATGGCCAGGAGCCCGTGACGGGTATGATGGCCAGGGGCCCGTGACGAGTGTGATGGCCAGGGCCCCGTGACGGCCAGGGGCCCGTGACGGGTGTGATGGTCAGGGGCCAGTGACAACCAGGGGCCCGTGACGGCCAGGGGCCCGTGACAACCAGGGGCCCGCGACAATCAGGGGCCCGTAACAACCAGGGGCCCGTGACGGGTGTGACGGCCAGGGGCCCGTGACGGGTGAGACGGCCAGAGGCCCGTGACGGCCAGGGGCCCGTGACGGGTGAGACGGCCAGAGGCCCGTGACGGGTGTGACGGCCAGGTGCCCGTGACGGCCAGGGGCCCGTGACGGTTGTGACGGCCAGGGGCCCGTGACGGTTGTGACGGCCAAAGGCCCGTGACGGTTGTGACAGCCAGGGGCCCGTGACGGCTAGGGGCCCGTGACGGTTGTGACGGCCAGGGGCCCGTGACGGCCAGGGGCCCGTGACGGGTGTGACAGCCAAGGGCCCGTGACGGCCAGGGGCCCGTGACGGTTGTGACGGCCCGGGGCCCGTGACGGGTGTGACAGCCAAGGGCCCGTAACGGCCAGGGGCCCGTGACGGTTGTGACGGCCAGGGGCCCGTGACGGTTGTGACGGCCAGGGGCCCGTGACGGTTGTGACGGCCAAAGGCCCGTGACGGGTGTGACAGCCAGGGGCCCGTGACGGCTAGGGGCCCGTGACGGTTGTGACGGCCCGGGGCCCGTGACGGTTGTGACAGCCAGGGGCCCGTGACGGGTGTGACAGCCAAGGGCCCGTGACGGCTAGGGGCCCGAGACGGTTGTGACGGCCCGGGGCCCGTGACGGGTGTGACAGCCAAGGGCCCGTAACGGCCAGGGGCCGTGACGGCCAGGGGCCCGTGACGGTTGTGACGGCCAGGGGCCCGTGACGGGTGTGACGGCCAGGGGCCCGTGACGGTTGTGACGGCCAGGGGCCCGTGACGGTTGTGACGGCCAGGGGCCCGTGACGGTTGTGACGGCCAGGGGACCGTGACGGTTGTGACGGCCAGGGGCCCGTGACGGTTGTGACGACCCGTGACGGTTGTGACGGCCAGGGGCCCGTGACGGGTGTTACGGCCAGGACCAGGTCGAGAGGTGGGGGGGGGGGCATGAGGGTGTAGGTGACACATATAGTAAAGAGCGGAGGGCGGGGAAGGGAAACAGGGCGGGAACGAGACCCGGGTGCAGCCGGGTACACCTTTTATTTATATGTAAATGGAGGAACACATGGGGAGAGGGGAGAGAATGAGGGGCTGGTAAAAGGGGAAATGAGAAAGGGGTGTTGAGAGAGGGGAAAGAAGAGGGGGGGAGGGTTGAGACTCATTATCCAGGCAGCGTTCGAGAGGGTGACGTCATCGGTAGTTCGTCTTTATTGATGAAGATAGTGAACAGTAAAGGTAGTTACAGTGATGATGAAGGGAGAGTGATGAAGATTAGAGAAGGTAGTTGACGACAGGTAAGGTAGTGATGGGTAGGGAAGGCCTTAAAGGTAGGGAAGATAGTGTAGGGTAGTGAAGATAGTGAAACGTAGTGGAGGTGAAGGGTACGGAAGGTGGGAAATGGTAGGGACGATGGTGAAGGGTAGGGGGGGAAAGTAATGAAGTGTAGGAAAGATGGTGAAAAGAGAAGCCAGGCTGTAGATAGGGAGCCGAGTGGTAGTGAAGATGGTTACCCTGATGATGACGGTTGTGGGTAGTTATGAGGGCTAATGTGAGGAAGATAGTGTGTGAAGTAAAAAAAAAAATACATAGGTTTAGTGATGATGGTCACTGGTAATGAAAATGAACATGGTAACGATTGTGGTGTAGTGTAGATGGTAACAGTGAAGATGTATAGTGTATCTCCCCGAGCAACGCTCTACATCACCATGAGACGTACAGATAAGTGAAAAAGATTTAGGTCTACTTCATCTTCTTTAAAATAACTGAGGTTTCAGAGTCCCATCTCCTTCGTCACTTCTAC